ATTAATAAGCAGCAGGTTTAAAACAAACCAAAGGAAGCACTTTTTCAACACAGTGTGCAGTTAACCTATGGAACTCATTGCTGTAGATGTTGTGAAGGCCAAAAGTATAACTGGGTTCAAAAAAGATGTAGATAAGTTCATGGAGGATAGGTCCATCGATGGCTATTGACTGCCAGAAGCTGGGACTGGACAACAGGATGGATCACTGTTCATTTCCTCTGAAGCATCTGGCACCAGCCACTGTTGGAAGACCGGATACTAGGCTAGATGGACCATTGATCTGACCCACTATGGCTGCTCTTATATGAAATGAACTGGGCAGATGGAAGTCCAGTGTTTGGACAGGTGACCATATAAACAAAATGTCATTGCAGTTGGCAGCACTAACTGGCTTTTTATCAATAGTCACAGCAGAAAGACCAAGGACTGAACTCTCCCCCTACCCTGGTCCCCCGCCCCGGAGGAGGTTGAGCACTGGTGGTGGTGATGGGAGGCATGAGGGGGTAGGGGTAGGCAAGGTTCCTACATTGTACTTCTGCAAATAGATAGGCTTTAGTCTCTGGATTGTAAATCTGGCATTTAGAGCATTACACAGCGTGTGAGAGGCAAATAGGTTGATAGCCAAGAACATACGGCAAATAGCAGTCCCCTATTTTTAAATAAAGGGGTCTATTGCCCTGAGAAGAGAGTTTGTTCCCTAAGTGGTTGCTAATTCAGATCCATTCATCTTGCCAGCCCCTCTGGATTTTTGGATCATTGAAAAGGTGTGATCCAACGATCAGTGATGGGTGTTCAGTGTCCTGCTTCTGACTGTGGCTGTTATTCCCTCTTTGGATGCAGTACTGACTGAAGCTGCTCTGCAATCATGGTGTCCGTTCTGCCCACAGAAGAGGGCAATGTGGCAGTGGTGGTGCGGGTACGGCCCCAGAATCAACAGGAGCGGGAAGGGAGTCGTCACGCTGTGGTGCAGGTGATCGGTGACAGCATGTTGGTGTTTGACCCCGAGGAACCCCGTCTATCGGGAGTTTTTACAGGCTTCCGGGGGCATGATGCCCCCAAGCGAAAGGGCAAGGACCTGAAGTTTGTGTTTGACCAAGTGTTTGGTGAGAGTGCTACACAGGAGGAAGTATTCCAGCACACAACTAAGGAGATCCTGGATGGAGTGCTGAATGGGTACAACTGCTCTGGTAAGGAGCCCTGGTGCGGCATTTTATTTGGCTTCATTATACAGAGTTAACTGAACACATTACAGGGTTAAGTATACAGTGAACATAGTCAAATGCCATTGCTCAGGACCTGAGCCGATTCCTTGCAGTGTGTGTGGGGGGGGGATTTTTATCACATCCAGCACTGTAATTTGCAGGAAGCTGCTGCACGTAGAAGAGGCTCTTCCACTCTTTTTTTTCATTCATTTGATTTCCCCTAACAGAGCCACCTTCCCACTGTTTGGTCCACACAATTAAACTTTAATAACTTAGCTGATGCCTGAGTTGGGATCCGAGGCCAGACTGGCTCAATAGAGGATCAGGCCTGGTCAGTCCTGTATTCCTGTAGACCAGTGGTTCTCAACCAGGGGTCCATGGCCCTCTGGGGGGCCGTGAGCAGGTTTCGGGGGTCTGCCAAGCAGGGACAGTGTTAGACTCGCTGGGGCTCGGGGCAGAAAGCCTAAGTCCTGCCATGCAGGGCTGAAGCCTGAGGCCCTGAGCCCCACCACCCAGAGGCGGAAGCAGAAGCTGAACACCTTAACTTCACAGAGGCCCCTTTGATGTGGGTCCCCTGTGGTGTGGAGCCCCAGGAAACTGTCTGGTTTGCTACCATCTTCTGTTGGCCCCACCAAACATGGAGCTCCCCTTTGATATGAAGACATTAGTGCAGTTCTGCAAGTCAGCCATGCTGGTGCAGTAATAACGAACTAAAAACAGAAGGGAGTTGTCTCGTGGTTAGAGCCTGGGACTGGGCATCAGAACTCCTAGGTTCTATTCCTGGCTCTATTTGGGGTGTGTTGTGAGCACAGATCTGTGACGGGCTCTCTTTACATGCCCTTCTTATGCTAAATATTTTTGAGATCCTTTAACAATACTTCGTACTTCTACAGCATCTTATTAATGGGGGAAAGACTGAAATCACTAGAATACCATGTCCTATTCGGAGGTCAACACTTTTAAAAGGATGTTGAAAAATTGCAAAGGGCTCAGAGATGAGCTACAAGACTGAGTCAAGGTCTGGAAAATCTGCTTTATAGTGAAAGATTTAGGAAGCTCAATCTTATGAGTTTATTAAAGAAAAGGTTAGAGATGACTTGATCATGTCTATAAGTATCTAAATGGGGAGCAGATTTCTGATATTAGATGGCTCTTTAATCTAGCAGACAAAAACCATAATGAAATCCAGTGGCTGGAAGCTGAAGCTACATAAAAGCAGAGTAGACAATAGGTGCAAATTTCCAACAATGAGGGTAATTAACCGTTGGAACAATTTATCTAGGGATGGGGCTGATTCTCTGTAACTTGAAATCTAAATCAAGATAGAGCATCCTTATTTTAAAAAAAATAGACCCTGGCTCAACCCCAGAGGGGGTTGTAGGAATTATTGGGTGAAATTCTTTTGCCTATATATAGGAGGACAGATTAGATTATAGTGGTCTTTTCTGGCCTTTGAATTTCTAGTGTCTTGTCTTTCTATTTCCAGTGTTTGCCTATGGTGCAACAGGTGCAGGAAAAACCTACACCATGCTGGGCTCTGAGAAGAGTCCAGGCATCATGTACCTCACCATGGTGGAGCTTTATAAAAGGATTGAGGCAAGGAAGGAGGAGAAAAGCTGCGAGGTGCTCATCTCCTACCAGGAGGTACCCGGGTGTCTGACGCTACCCCCTTCCATCTGCTACCACCTTGAAGAAGAGGTGTCAGGGGGCGGTAGTTAGGATTACATGGCTCCATCCCCTCAGGTTCAGTATGGTGCCAGCAAGCTGCTGAGATTCCATAGCACTATGCCACTGACTAGTCCAGCTGGTCCTGGGGTGGGAAAGAAGTTCTGTCTCCATTTTTCCCACTTGCTTTTTGGCATCCTCTCACTGCACCACAGACACTCTACAATGACCCTCCTGTGCTTGCCTTTACCCATTAGGGAGGGAAATTTTCACTTGTGTATTCCCTTCTCCCTAGGCCGTTACTGAGTCCAACACAGTGTATTGTGTCTACACCCAGCTTCCTTGTTGGAGCAGAATCTATCTAAAATCCCCAGTTTGAACTCTCAGGTGACCTGTAAACAGGGTTTTGTCCCTAGCTCTACAACTGCTTATGTGAACTTGAATATGCTGATTCACTTCTCTGTGCCTCTGTAATATGGCAACACTTCTCTGCCTTGCAAGGATGATTAAGGGGCGTGCGGTTTGTGAGGCTTAATGTTTGTGAAGCACTATGAGATTCTATGTTTGTGAAAACTATGAGATTAGTGTTTGTGAAGCACTATGCTCTTAAAAGGGCAATGGCAGTGACATGGGATAAAGTCCTTGTAACGGTCTTAACGCTGTCCTTGGGACTAGGTGCTTGCATATATGGTGTTGCAGCACTCTTCCTTGATGGAACTTGTGTAAAGCCTTTCCAGAGAATCAGCCCTTCCTCCCTAGGAAGAACTGGTCTGACCTGTTTGAACTCCACTCTCTTTGCTCCTGTTGTAATCTATTATATGGTCTAGCTCCCTCCATGCAAAGACCTTCCTCTGGCCTCCTGCACCTAGCTTCCTAGGGTCACTGTTTAGGATGTTTACTCTTGATTCCTTGTTCTAGGTGTACAATGAGCAGATTCATGACCTCCTGGAGCCGAAGGGCCCTCTAGCAATCAGGGAGGACCCAGAGAAAGGGGTAGTGGTACAGGGTCTCTCCTTCCATCAGGTATGTATAAGGACTCCCCACAACAAAATAGTGCATGGACTAGGCACAGCTACAGGTCTAACTGTAAGTAATTACTTTATTTTCAGTAAAGGGAAAATAGCAGAGGAGAAGTTACATTGCTTGAGCCCTTCCCACTGTTCCTGAAGAGCTGGGTGACTGGGGGTCTACAGTGCTTCTTGGGGATAGCCAGGATTGTGAGGCACCTCGCTACCACCCACCCATAGTGTGAGGAAGTCTTGTTTGTTCCTGGCATGGGTCAGTTAGTCAACACCACCAGCCCCTGGCAACGCAAGCTCGGCCTTCCAGGCCTACATTGACCCCACTTTCTCTTTAGATGTTAGCGATAGGCACACCTCAGCCCCCAAGTCCACAGAATATGTCCTTGGAGAAGTCCTGGATCCCCTGGGCACTCACAGAATTTCCAAATCCCTGTTCCCAAAAGAACTGCATACCACAGCTTACTAGTGACACAGCTCTGCTTTACACACAGCACTCGGCTGTGGGAATTAGAGTGCCTGACGTTAATGAGGATATTAATGTAATAGGCAGTGTGGAAACTTGGTGGAATGAGAATCATAGAATATCAGGGTTGGAAGGGACCCCAGAAGGTCATCTAGTCCAACCCCCTGCTCGAAGCAGGACCAATTCCCAGTTAAATCATCCCAGCCAGGGCTTTGTCAAGCCTGACCGTAAAAACCTCTAAGGAAGGAGATTCTACCACCTCCCTAGGTAACGCATTCCAGTGTTTCACCACCCTCTTAGTGAAAAAGTTTTTCCTAATATCCAATCTAAACCTCCCCCACTGCAACTTGAGACCATTACTCCTCTTTCTGTCATCTGCTACCATTGAGAACAGTCTAGAGCCATCCTCTTTGGAACCCCCTTTCAGGTAGTTGAAAGCAGCTATCAAATCCCCCCTCATTCTTCTCTTCTGCAGGCTAAACAATCCCAGCTCCCTCAGCCTCTCCTCATAACTCATGTGTTCTAGACCCCTAATCATTTTTGTTGCCCTTCGCTGGACTCTCTCCAATTTATCCACATCCTTCTTGAAGTGTGGGGCCCAAAACTGGACACAGTACTCCAGATGAGGCCTCACCAATGTCGAATAGAGGGGAACGATCACGTCCCTCGATCTGCTCGCTATGCCCCTACTTATACATCCCAAAATGCCATTGGCCTTCTTGGCAACAAGGGCACACTGCTGACTCATATCCAGCTTCTTGTCCACTGTCACCCCTAGGTCCTTTTCCGCAGATCTGCTGCCTAGCCATTCGGCCCCTAGTCTGTAGCGGTGCATTGGATTCTTCCGTCCTAAGTGCAGGACCCTGCACTTATCCTTATTGAACCTCATCAGATTTCTTTTGGCCCAGAATGATCAATGGCCCAGGATAATACCCAGGTACAAAATATACAGGAACGGAAGAGTAGGTCAAACTGGTGAGGGAGTGGTGCTATATCTGACAGAAGGCATAGTCGAAGTAAAAATCTTAAATCAACCTGTACCATAGAATCTCTATGGATATGTAACCCTTCTGCCCGTCAGAGTTGGCAGCAACAAGGGCCAGGTTCAGTATTTAGGGGTTCCATTCCAATAATACAATGGAAAACCAGCTTGAGCCCCCACCCAGTGACCTGGGACAAATATATAGCACCCCCGCTGGGCACCTCCAAGAGGCAATACTTCCCCTCTCACAAGCACAGAGTCTGAGTGTAGCAAAGCCTTTTAATAACAGAGAGAAACAATGTGGCATTATGTTGGGGAAACACCACCAACAGGATTCCTAACGCAATCCATGAGCAAAAAAACCCACCCCAAGCAAATTGGGCCTTGTCCTTTCCCTTTGGTTCTTGAGTCCAGCAACCCAAAAGTCCGCCAAAGTCCCAAAAGTCCAACACCCCAAAAGTCTCTGTCCCTGGTCAGTGCAGCCCCAGAGTTTGAAAGTTTATCTGCAGAGTTTTACCCCCAACCTGGGTGGAGATGGGGGCGGGTTAAGGGGCACCTTATGTGGTCCAAAGCCAATTGCCCCACCTCTCCATGGGGCTCCGCTCTGCTCCACCAGCTGTCCCACGAATCGCTCTGCTCTGCCAGCCACCCCCATGAGCTGCTCCAGGCATCCCACAAACTGCTCCGCTCCACCAGCCGCTCTGCTCTGCCAGCCGTCCCACGAACCATTCCAGCCGTCCCACGAGCCGCTCTGCTCTGCCAGCTGTCCCGCAAACTGCTCTGCAATATATCTTCAGGCTCTCCCACTACTTAACACAACACTCAGTGATTTCAGCTCTTAGTAAGTTTAGCTCTTTTGTGATTTCAGCTTGTAGTAGGGTGCACCATCGGCCCAAAGTGAATTCAGCTCAGTAACCTGTAACTAGATTCCTCATGGAATCAAAATTAGCTCAGATATTCCACAGTGGAGAGAGGAGAAAGTGCAATTAGCATGTAAGGCCCTTACCTGAAGACCCATACTACCAGGTATTAATATCTATCCCCAGCCTCTCTCTATTCACTGGGTTTTGGAACCCATGACCCTTGCCTAGCGAGTGCTGCTTAGTTGATGGTGAGTCCCTCCATCCTAAGAAAAGGCCAAGTACAGTTCCACTGTCCTTGATTCATATAATCAGGATAATAGTTTATTCCTGCCCCAATAACAGAGAAACTGGGGCTCCTACAGCAGCCAAAGTGACCATCTAGGCAGGGGGGGTGCCTATGCAAATGAGATCAGCCCCTGAAGTTCTTTTCCACAACCCACCATGACTCGCCACCAGATGTCAGGGCAGAGCTCATCCTGACTCTGCTTACAGATAGAAATTCCATGCTTGAACAATAAAAGTATAGCAGTAGGAATATCCTACCAGCCACCTAGTGATCGTGATTGTGAAATGCTCAGGTAGATTAGAGGCTACAAAAGCAGAAAACTCAATACTGCTACTAATAATGGGGGGATTTCAACTATCCTCAGATTGACTGGGTATATCACCTCAGGACAGGATCCAGAGAGAAAATTTCAAGACTCCATAAATGACTGCTTCTTGGAGCAGCTAGTTCTGGAACCCACAAGGGGAGAGGCAATTCTTAATTTAGTCCTAAGTGGATCACAGGATTTGGTCCCAAAGGTGAATATAGCTGAACTGCTCAGTAACAGTGACCATAATGTAATTAAATTTAACATCGGGGGCAGGAGAATGCCAAAGAAATGCACCACAGTAACATTTAACTTCAAAAAGGGAAACTATACAAAAATGAAGAGGCTAGTTAAATGGAAATTAGAAGGAATAGTCACAAGGGTGAAGTGCCTGCAAACTGCATGGTGACTGTTTAAAAACACAGAGGCTCAAACTAAATGTATACCCTTAAATAATAATACAACAACAAAAACCAGTAAGAGAACCAAAAAAAAAATCACCATGGCTAATCAAGGTAAAGGAGGTGTTACAAGCAAAAAAGGCATCCTTTAAAAATTGGAAATTGAATCTTAGTGAGGAAAATAGGAGCATAACATCTGGCAAGTCAAGTGTAAAGGTATAATTAGGCAGGCAAAGAAAAAATGTGAAGAGCTAAAGCCACAAAACTAAGATTAAAACAAAATTAAGTACACGGGAAGCCTACCACCGTACGATCTAGCTGCTACAGAAAGCACTCAAGGAAGACAAAGCCATTGCGGAGAAGATAAATGAATTCTCTGTATTGGTTTCCACTCTAGAGGATGTGGGGGCCTCCCCCACATCCAAGCCATTCGTTTTAGGTGACTAATCTGAAGAACTGTCCCAAATTGAGGTGTCAATAGAAGGAGGTTTTGGAACAAATTGAATTGATAAGTGACCAGGACTTAGAGAGCAGCAAATATTCATCCAAGAGTTCTGAAGGAACTTAAATATGAAATGGCAGAACGACTAAGTGGTATGTTACCTATCACTTAAATCTGCCTCTGTAGCAGATGACTGGAGGGTAGCTAATGTAAGGCTGATTTTTAAAAATATCTCCAGTAGCGATCCTGATAACTACAGGCTAGTAAGCCTAACTTCAGTACCAGGAAAATTAGTTGAAACTATAGCAAAGAACAAAATGATGATACATAGATGAACACTTGGGGAAGAGTCAACACAGCTTGTGTAAAGGGAAACAATACCTCGCCAATCTACTAGAATTGTTTGTGTGTCGTCAAGCATTGGATCAGGGCGATCGAGTGGACATAGTGTATGTGGACTTTTAGAAAGCCTTTGACAAGGTCCCGCACCAAAGGCTCTTAAACTAAGCAGTGCTGAGATAAGAGGGATTGTCCTCTCATGGATCAATAATTGCTTAAAAGATAGGAGACACAGGGTAAGAATAGGAGTAGGTCAGTTTTCACAATGGAGAGAGGGGAACAATGGGGTCTGTACTGGGACAAGTGCTGTTCAACATATTCAGAAATGATTGGGAAAGGAAGTGAACCATGATATGGCAAAATACACAGACAAAACAGTATTCAGTAGTGAAGTCCAAAGCAGACTGTGAGGAGTTACAAAGGGATCTCACAAAACTGGATAACTGGGTAACAAAAGGGCAGATTAAATTCAATGTTTAACTGCAAAGTAATGCACACTGGAAAAAAATAATCCCAACTATACATTCAAAACGATGGGGTTTAAATTAGCTGTTACCACTCAAGAAAGATCTTGGAATCATTGTGGATAATTCCTTGCTAAATATTGATTGGCTGTCAGAAAAAGCTAAAACAATGTTAGGAACCCTGAGGAAAGGGATAGATGATAAAGCAGAAAATATGCCACCCTATAAATCCATGGTACACCCATACCTTAAATACTGGGTGCAGGTCTGGTTGTCCCCACCTCAAAAAATATATTAGAATTGGAAAAGGTACAGAGAAGAGCAACAAAAAATGTTTAAGGTTAGGAAACAACCTCCCTAGGAGGAGAGGTTAAAAAGGGTGGGACCATTCATTTTAGACGGTAGATGACTAAGAGGAGGGGAAGTATAACAGAGGTCAATAAAATCATGAATGGTATGAAGAAAGTGAATAGGGAAGTGTTCTTTACACCTTTACATAACACAACAAGTAGGTGTCATCCAATGAAATTAAGGCAGCAGATTTAAAACAAACATAAGGAAATACTTCACACAACCCACAGTCAATCTGTAGAACTAGTCGCTGTGGATGTTAAGGCCAAAAATATAACAACAGTTCAAAAAAGAATTAGGTTCATGAGAAATAAGTTGGCTGTTAGCCAATATGGTCAGGGGTGCAACCCCATGCTCCGGGTGTTCCTAAACCTCCAAATGCCAGAAGCTGGGACTGGACAGGGAATGGATCACTTGAAATTACCCTGATCTGTTTATTCCTTCTGAAGCATTTGGCATTGGACACCGTCAAAAGGCAGGATACTGGGCTTGATGGATCATTGGTCTAACGCAGCATAGCAGTTCTTATGTTAAGTTTACTTAATAATAAAGAACAGAAATTCAAATGATAGCAAGCACAAATATTGGAAACAAAGGTATACATACAAAATAAAATCATAGCACATGTACTAAAGTCTAAGCTTAACAAATAAGACATTGTTATGTTATACAGAGCAAAAGCTCCCCCGAAACCCTTCCAGAGTACTTCAGCCAGGTTTGGCAGTTGTCTTCTATTCGCGAAACAAGCACACTGTCAGCTTACTTCCTAGGTGAAAGATGCCCATTGGGTCTCTATACCTACAGTTATAGACCCAGAAATCCATTGTCTGTACGTGGAAATAGGATAACCCATGATGCTTGTGTTTTTCTGTCTATAATCTCCCCTAGAGCCTTTGCAATCCCTTGATTAGCGTTTTGCTCAGATTGAAAGTAGGCTTTCATTGTGAAGTACCCAATACTCAATTTGCACATAGACTGAAAGATAAATATCTCTGGCCTGAAAGAAACTTGTTTCTCATCTGGTGACCAGCCCCACGTCAAAGACAATAAGAACATTATGTTCAATGTATTTACATAACTCTATATTGATCAGCCATACATTCACTTCACAATGGTTGTGAGAACTGGCAGGATACAGGCTTTCAGCAGAGACCTTACATGACACCCTTTGGCAAACTAATATATAGATACCACACCTAGGCATTCCCGGTAACTCAGGGATTCCCAAACTTGGTTCGCGTCTTGTTCAGGGTAAGCCCCTGGTGGGCTGCGAGACATTTTGTTTACCTGAGCATCCACAGGTACGGCCGCTCGCAGCTCCCAGTGGCTGCAGTTTTCCGTTCCCGGCCAATGGGAGCTGAGGGAAGCGGTGGCCGGCCCGTGCTGCTTCCCGCAGCTCCCATTGGCCCTGCATTTGCCTATGCTGTACCCATTCTTTGGATAAACAGGGCTTCAGTCTCAAGGGAGATTAATGTGGCATCTTTTCCCAGCCCTATGCTCACCTTCCCCACAAAGGTTTGTATGCACCTACTAGTGCATTGGTTGATGTGCTTACAAGTTCCTTGGGAGGGGGGAGGCATAGTTTCCCCATATGGGTGAGAGCTGCAAAGACCTCCCATTTGAAGCACTGTACGATACTAATCTTTCTCTCTGTGTTCCTTTCCAGCCAAAATCAGCAGAGCAGCTCCTGGAGATGCTGGCAAGTGGAAACAGAAACCGCACACAGCACCCCACAGATGCCAATGCTACTTCCTCACGCTCCCATGCCGTCTTCCAGGCAAGTAGCAGCAGCAACATCTGCGAGGATGTTCTCAGGACTCTCATCTTCAGGCTTCTGTGCCTAAATTGAGCCAAATGAAGAAACAGGAAGAAATCTCCTGCTGGCTTGGAGTGTAGGGTCTCCAGTTATTACTTCTGTTCAGGTTTCAGAGGAACAGCCGTGTTAGTCTGTATTCGCAAAAAGAAAAGGAGTACTTGTGGCACCTTAGAGACTAACCAATTTATTTGAGCATGAGCTTTCGTGAGCTACAGCTCACTTCATCAGATGTATCTGTTCAGATGTATCTGTTCATCATCTGTTCAGTATGTTAAGCAGGAGGATTATGTCTTCCTCTGAAAAGGACCTAGGGGTGACAGTGGACGAGAAGCTGGATATGAGTCAGCAGTGTGCCCTTGTTGCCAAGAAGGCCAATGGCATTTTGGGATGTATAAGTAGGGGCATAGCGAGCAGATCGAGGGACGTGATCGTTCCCCTCTATTCGACATTGGTGAGGCCTCATCTGGAGTACTGTGTCCAGTTTTGGGCCCCACACTTCAAGAAGGATGTGGATAAATTGGAGAGAGTCCAGCGAAGGGCAACAAAAATGATTAGGGGTCTGGAACACATGACTTATGAGGAGAGGCTGAGGGAACTGGGATTGTTTAGTCTGTGGAAGAGAAGAATGAGGGGGGATTTGATAGCAGCTTTCAACTATCTGAAAGGGGGTTCCAAAGAGGATGGATCTGGACTGTTCTCAGTGGTAGCAGATGACACAACAAGGAGTAATGGTCTCAAGTTGCAGTGGGGGAGGTTTAGGTTGGATATTAGGAAAAACTTTTTCACTAGGAGGGTGGTGAAGCACTGGAATGCGTTACCTAGGGAAGTGGTGGAATCTCCTTCCTTAGAAGTTTTTAAGGTCAGACTTGACATAGCCCTGGCTGGGATGATTTATTTGGGCATTGGTGCTGCTTTGAGCAGGGGGTTGGACTAGCTGACCTTCTGGGGTCCCTTCCAACCCTTATATTCTATGATTCTATGATTCTATGAAGAATCTGGCAGTAGCTACTGTCAGACAGAATATTGGGTTGGACCATTGGTTTGTTCTTGCAACTATAGCAGACACATCGGGTCATCCTCTTACTCTCTGTCCTGCAGGGTAGGGTTCTCCTGCAGTGCATCCAGTGACATTTAAACAAGTGTTGGGACTCCCCCTCCCCCACTTCCCTTGGAAAACATTTTATCCCCCTTTTTTTGTTTGTTTTTGTTTTATCCCTGTACCCCTGTGTATTGCAATGAACAACTAGCCTCCTTCCTTGGTGGCCTAGCTGCAAGTTATTTCCCCCACCTTCCCTTTCGTCAGTACTTAAACACACTTTACATACTGAGCTCTCAAACTTTCCTTGGAAATCAGTCCCTGCAGCCTACAATCACTTGCTACTCTTCTCTGAAAACCTTCCAATTTCTCTTCATAGTGGTGTGCCCAGAATGGAAAAAATGAGTAACTCCAGCACTGTACAAAGAGACTATGATCTCTCTGACTGCAAGCGCCTCTCTAACTTGCTATCATTCGCCCCAGCTCTCACCACTCCGGTTTCCCAAGTTCTCTCTCCACACAAAGCAGAGGTGTTTGGGATGATTTTTCCTCAAATGGATTAGCTGCATTTTCAAGGCTGAATCTGCTGATGTGCTGCACCTCGGACACTGACTAGCCAGCTCCAGTCCAGGTTAGGGCACTTTGCCAGGAAGAAGGTTTAGTCGTTAGGGCCTGGACTCCCTGCTGGCCACAACAGAAAACCCTCCTGTAACGGGGTCGGCACCCACCTCTTGCGAGCACCCACTCTTGTTGAGTGTGTCTGCGATCTTTAAACCAGTCTAGCCCTGGTATGGGGCTGTATCCCCAGGGCTTCCTCCCTGGAGATGCTATCTTCCTGCGGCCCTCCCCAGGCTCAGTCCCTACTCAGTGCCCACAGCCAGCCAGGAGCTCCTTCATTGCTCCCTCAGTCCCTGCTAGCAAACTAGCTTTGGGTCAGTCCTAGCAGCCAGTCAAGAGCCTCTCGCTCCCCCAGTCCCTGTCCACACTGAGCCGTCTGTGGCCCTGCTGCTCTTCCAGGCAGCCAGGCCTGCAGTCCTTTCTTCTCCAGCTCCCAGCAGCAACTGCCCTGTCTCTGGCTCTGTAGCTCCTTTTTATAGGGTTCACTCTAGCCTGATTGGAGGACCTCTCCACTGCTCCTTACCTGGGATGGGTGTGGCAGGACCCTGAGTCCTCCATGAGGGGGCCTCTGGGCCTAGTCCACCCCATCACACCTCCTCTCCTACTGGTTGCTTCTGCCTTTCACTTAGGCTGGCAACTATAAAGTGCAGGGAGAGGAACTGGCTCAGAGTAGCTCTGTGCAGGGAGGCGGGGCTGATTGTTAGTCCTGCTCCTTAAGAACATAAGAAGGGCTGTCCAACTAGCCCAGTTTCCTGTCTCTGACAGTGGGTAGTGCCCGGTACTTCCGAGGAGATGAATGGAACAGGGTAATTATCTAGTCATCCATCTATCCCCTGTTGTCTAGCCCCAGCTTCTGGCAGTTGGAGGCTTAAGGACACCCAGAGTATGGAGTTGCACCCCTGGCCATCTTGGCTAATAGCCATTGATGGCCCTATTGACCATGAACTTATCTAATTCTTTTTTGAACCCAGTTATACTTTTGGCCTTACAACATCCACAGCAATGAGTTCCACGAGTTGATTGTGCATTGTGTGAAGAAGTACTTCCTTTTGTTTGTTTTAAACCCATTGCCTGTTAATTTTATCAGGTGACAACCTCTCCCCCCTCCCCCCCGTGCTTGTGTTATGTGAAGGGGGTAAATAACACTTTCCTATTCACTTTCTCCACACCATTTATGATGATATAGACCTCTATAATGCCACCCTTTAGTAATCTATCTTCTAAATTGAACAGTCCCAGTCTTTTAATCTCTCCTAATATGGGAGCTGATCCATCCCCCTAACTATTTTTGTTGCTCTTCTCTGCACCTTTTCCAATTCTAGTATCTTTTTAGAGATGAGGCAATCAGAACTGCCCACGGTATTCAAGGTGTGGGCGTACCATGGGTTTATATAGCAGCACTAAGAGATTGTCTGTCGTATGATCTATCCCTTTCCTAAGGTTCCTAGCATTCTGTTCGGTTTTTTTGACTGCCACTGCACACTGGGCAGATGTTTTCAGAGAACTATCCACGATGACTCCAAGATCTGTTGCTTGAGTAGTAACAGTTAATTTAGAACCCATCATTTTGTATCTAGCGTTGGGATTATTTTCTTCAATGTACATTACTTGGTTTTTATCAACACTGAATTTTCATTTGCCATTTTGTCACCCCGTCACACAGTTTAGTGAAATCTCTTTGTAACTCTTCACAGTCATCTTTGGATTTATCTTGAGTAATTTTGCATCATCTTCAGATTTTGCCATGTCACTGTTCCGCCCCTTTTTCCAGATCATTTATGAATATGTTGAACAGCACAGTTCCCAGCACAGATCCTTGGGGGGGGGCCCACTATTTACTGCTCTCTGTTGTGAAAACTGGACATTTATTCCTACCCTTTGTTTCCTATCTTTTAACCAATTATTGACTCATGAGAGGACCTTCCCTCTTATCTCAGGACTGCTTAGTTTGCTTAAGAGCCTTTGGTGCGGGATGTTGTCAAAGGCTTTCTAAAAGTTCAAGTGCGCTATATCTACCGGTCACTCTTGTCCACGTGCTTATTGACACCCTCAAGGAATTCTAAAAATTGGTGAGGCATGATTTCCCTTTATAAAAGCCATGTTGACTCTTCTCCAACATATCATGTTAATCTACATGTCTGATAATTCCATTCTTTACTATAGTTTCAACCAGTTTGCCTCGTCCTGAAGTTAGGTTTAGTGGCCTGTAATTGTCAAGATTGCTGCTGGAGCCTCTTTTAAAAATCTCCTTCCTTAGAAGTTTTTAAGGTCAGGCTTGACAAAAGCCCTGGCTGGGATGATTTAATTGGGGATTGGTCCTGCTTTGAGCAGGGGGTTGGACTAGATGACCTCCTGAGGTCCCTTCCAACCCTGATATTCTATGATTCTATGAAATCGGCATCACATTAGCTACTCTCCAGTCATCTGGTACAGAGGATGATTTAAGTGATAGGTTACATACCACAGGTAGTAGTTTTGCAATTTCATATTTGAGTTCCTTCAGAACTCCTGGGGGAATCCCATCTGGTCCTCGTGACTTACTACTCTTTAATTTCTCAATTTGTTCCAAAACCACCTCTACTGACACCTCAATCTGGGACAATTCCTCAGATTTGTCACCTAAAAAGAATGGATCGGGTGTAGGGAATCTCCCACACATCCTGTGCAGTGAAGACCAATGCAAAGAATTGCTTTAGCTTCTCCACAACAGCCTGGTCTTCCTTAGCCCCTCAGTCATTCCGTGGCTCTGCTGACCGTTCAGCAGGCTTCCGGCTTCTGATATATTTAAAAAGTAACAGCGATTTTTTTGACAGGTTTCAGAGTAACAGCCGTGTTAGTCTGTATTCGCAAAAAGAAAAGGAGGACTTGTGGCACCTTAGAGACTAACCAATTTATTTGAGCATGAGCTTTCGTGAGCTACAGCTCACTTCATCGGATGCATACCGTGCAGCACGGTATGCATCCGATGAAGTGAGCTGTAGCTCACGAAAGCTCATGCTCAAATAAATTGGTTAGTCTCTAAGGTGCCACAAGTACTCCTTTTCTTTTAGCACGGTATGCATCCGATGAAGTGAGCTGTAGCTCACGAAAGCTCATGCTCAAATAAATTGGTTAGTCTCTAAGGTGCCACAAGTACTCCTTTTCTTTTAGCGATTTTTTTCTGTGTCATTTGCTGGTTGCTCTTCAAATTCTGTCTTGACCTGCCCTATTATACTTGACCTGGCACAGTTTATGCTCCTTTCTCTTTTCCACACTAGGATTTGACTTCTAATTTTTAAAGGACGCCTTTTCGCCTCTCACCCCCTCTTCTACTCTGCTCTTAAGCCATGGAGGCATATTTTTGGTCCTCTTACTGTTTTTTTGGTTTGTTTTTTTGTTTTTGTTTTTAATTTGGGATGTACATTTAATATGACCCTCTATTATTGTGCTTTTTAATAATCTCCACGCTGTTTGCAGGCATGTGAGTTGTGACTGTTTCTTTTAATTTCTATTTAACTAGCTACCTTATTTTTGTGCAGTTCCTGTGGTGGGTTTCTTTGGCATTTTCATCCCACAAGGATGTTACATTTAATTACATTAAATTAAACCACTATTATTGAGCAGTTCAGCTATATCCACCTCTTTGACCAGATCCTGTGCTCCACTTAGGACTAAATCAATAACTGTCTCTCCCATTGTGGGTTCCAGGACAAACTGTTCCAAGAAGCAGTCGTTTTATGTGTCGAGAAGTTTTATCCCTGCATCCCTTCCTGAAGTGACATACCCAGTTAATATCAAGATAGTTGAAATCCCCAGTTATTGCATTTTCTGCCTTTGTAGCCTCTCTAGTCTCCCTCAGCATTTCACAATCATGGTCACCATCCTTGTCAGGTAGCAGGTCGAATATTCCTGCCTCTATACTCTCCTTTAACCCATGTAAGGCTGCCGGCTCACTGGGACAGCCATTGCTCAGAGAGAGCTAGTGAGGTGAGGAAGGGGAGTAGTTGAGGCTTTGTGTGGGAATGAAAGGGAGAGAGTAGTTGAGAGCAGGGTTTGCTTCAGATCATGAGAACAGCCAGACTGGGTCAGACCAGTGATCCACCTAGCCCAGTATCCTGTCTTTCAGCTGGTGCCGGATGCTTCAGAGGGAACAATCAGAACAGGGCAGTTTATCAAGTGATCCATCCCCTGTTGTCCAGTCCCAACTCCTAGCAGGCAGAGGTTTAAGGACACCCAGAGCATGGAGTTCTGTCCCTGACCATCTTGGCTAACAAGCATTGATGGACCTGTCTTCCATGACCTTATCTAGTTTTTTTTAATCCAGCTATAGTATATCAAGTATCTATAAACTCCCTTAATGGGTCAGAGCCCCACAAATCTCATTACTTATAGGCCAACAAATGGCAATGACTTTCAGTGACAGAGCCAGAGGGTGAAGCTGTCCTAGAAATGAGAAGCCATGTGTTTGCAACCCTGGCTGAGCTCCCCCTTGTGGATGCTTACCAGGTTACTTTTGGGATGCAACTACTAGATCCTACATAGAGTGTTTGGGTCTGGACAGAGTCTAGTCACTGTCTCAAGGTCTGGGCTTCCAAGCACTTTCAGGATGCAGATCCTCTGTCTAGCACCCCTTCCTGAGATATACGATTCTGCAATCGAACTACTGCTGGCCTGCCCAGTAGCAAATGCATGCTTCCCCAAAGTTCCTCCGAAGCTATGGACCCTCTGGATTGCTATTTCACCCTTCGGAGACTACATGACAGTTAAAACAAGGGACGCACAGACTCAGCAAAGGAATTTCTCAACCAGTCATTCTTCACTGATAGACAAAGCACAAGAGAGATACAAATCTACAGAATATAATAAACATCTGCACATCAAACCCTCCTTCCAGCATCCTCACCACTCTGAGAGCCCTTTGGGGTTTGGTCAGTCCTTCCAGAGTCCCAGGACTCTCCTCCCCTCCTGCACAGCCTTGTTATCTTGTTCTGGTCAGTCAGAGAGCCCTTGGTAAGAGAAGAACTTGTCCTTTTATACAGCTCCAGTCCCCTCTGTCAGGTGCCACTGCCCCCCAATCAACTTCAAGTCCCTTGGCCGGTGTGTCATTGCTTGTTTACAGCCCATCTACAGTTCAGACTGGGGACACTGGTCCCCTTGATAAGCCCACCACCCAAGGGACAGTTTATTGTTCTGGGACACTTCCATTTGAATGGAAGACTTTCCAGGTTAGTGACTCTTGATTGCTCTCTTGTTAACCCACTGCTAGTGGTCGCAGTCTCTGCTAATACCTTCTAGATATCCCAGTCCAATAAAAGGGTAAAAGGCAAAAGCGAAGGTGCAGTACAAGTTACAATCAAAATGGAGTTTGCAGACTGATACAGACATACCCATGCCAACCTGTCATATCCTGTATCCATTACAAGTTCTCCTCCCACGACCTGAGACCAATCAGAGTTGGCCTTATGGCCTGCGAGATCCTAGAACTGAGTGTGGGGAAGACTGGGCAGTGTTTTCTCTCCGCTAGCCCCTCAGCCGGGGGAAGATAGTTGACCTGTAGCTTGGCAACATGGCACAGTAGATCAGTGAGTGGAGAGGAAACACAGGCTCTTGCTGTCATTGCTTGTGGTGATGGCTAGTCCTGCAGTGAATCTCTTGCCTGGTGGCCTTATCAGACCCCAAGAGAGGTCATGTTCAGTTCTCTGCTGTCCCCTACGATAAGATGTTGTCTGCTGACTGGGCTGAGCAGGTCATGAGGCCTCGCCTTATCTTTCCTCACGAGCCTTATCTTTTCTTCCTGTCCTTGCAGATCTTTGTGAAGCAGCAGGACCGTGTCGTTGGCATCACTCAGGACCTGCAGGTGGCCAAGATGAGCCTGATTGACCTGGCAGGCTCGGAGCGAGCATCAACCACCAACACAAAGGGAGAGCGGCTCCGAGAGGGTGCCAACATCAACCGTTCATTGCTGGCCCTGATTAATGTCATCAACGCCCTGGCTGATGCAAAGGTAATGCCCTTGCTCCACCCTTCCACAATACACCCTCCTCGGAAAACCACCTTGCATTCCTGCAGTACAAAGGGCAGGGGGGTTAAAAGGACACTTGACATAAGGTATTTCCTTGTTTGAGAAACCTAAGGAACTCTCTGCTGCAGGATATTGACACATCTAGCTCAGGAAGACTTCATAGGATTAGGAATAGCCTCTGACATTAACTGTGGAAAAACAGAGCTGGACCAACTGCCTCTTCATGCTCTTGCTTCCTAGCCTAGGTTTATGGGAACGAGTCTGAGCATTAGGATATCCGCATGCTAGGATTCTTAGAGATACCTGACAACTGAGGTGGGTCTCCTGATCTCTCCAAACAGAGCAGGAAGTCCCACATCCCATACAGGGACAGTAAGCTCACACGCCTGCTGAAGGACTCTCTTGGGGGCAACTGCCGGACCATCATGATTGCTGCCATCAGCCCATCTGCACTCGCCTATGAGGACACCTACAACACGCTCAAGTATGCCAATCGGGCCAAGGAGATCAAACTGTCGGTGGGTCCCACACATCTGTGTACAGACCTCTATCTCTATGGTGCTGCTGTGTTGAGAGGCTGTTGGCAAGTGGGCTGGGGCAAAAGCTGGCTCCGTGAGGTTCATCACCTACCATAGTGCCTCTGGATAATTAAAGGGGTCTTAGTTCAGTTAACCCACTGGTAGACATTCATTTAGATCTCTGAACTATCTAGTCCACGTATCTATGCCTGATCTGGGGACAAGCCCAGCTAGAGTTGCTGATGGTGATGCAGCTCAGTCTGGAGGAGACGTGAGCATTGGCTAAAGCCAAGCGTCACTTCATGGGCTGGCATTAGTGACTATGAAAGGGAGCTTCTCCCTTCAGAATTGTCCCTTTGAGGTGTTTCCTACATCACAGGGGTATCCCAGCAGCGCTGCTTAACCTAACCCATAGAGTAACTGGGACCCAGCAACAGGACTCACTGGCCTCTCAGTTCTCTTGCACAGAGCCAGGGCTATTCCACCTCTGTTCCTTTAACCCTCTCTCCTCCTTCCCCACCCCCTTTCCACCCTGCAGCTGAAGAGTAACATGCTCAGCCTGGACTGCCACATCACTAAATACGCAGCTATCTGTGAGCAGCTGAAAGCAGAGGTGAGATGCCTGACAGGGGGCTGGTGAATGGTTCTGTCTGTAGCCCTTGCCAGAGACCAGCACTGCTCTGGGATTGTAAGTACCATGAGTTCTGTGATAGGCTCAGAGCATTGGCTATGCTGCCGGAGAACTGCTTAGCCCAGTTAGTGGGCAGTGTCTTACGTTAAGGAAGAGCAGAGGACTGGAATGGACTCTTCTAGGGCTGCAATGAGAGCTCTGCTGCTGGACATATCCAGGGGCCCAGGTATTCTGGGATCCTGCAGCCCTTGCTCAAGAACTCGGTAATGAATTCCTCTCTGCCTTGTTTGTGAAGAGAGCATCCCAAAGAGAGCATCCCAATGGCATGTAACTGCTGTAGCCCTGCCTCCCCTAATCTGCAGCAGGACAGCCAGAAACAATGGCACTGAAGTGTGAACTGCCCAATTGATCCCCAAAGCTCCTAGTGTCCCCAGCCAGCTGCCAGAATCTCCACATTCCCCCTTACCTCTTCTACAAGGCAAATGGTCAATAAACCTGCAACACCCTGAAAAACTTTGAGGCAAAGTAAGACTGTAAGGCTTACAACTGAGTGTGCCAATCTCGGGTCAGACTGTCAGAAAACTCGTGGCGTGTTCTGTAATTAGATTTCACCAAGCCAGTAACAAATGTGTGCTCCTGGATCACCATACCAGTCTGACCATGGAGCCACAGACAGCCCCCGTAGGCTCTCCAGCCCCTCTTTACTATCCAGACAAATTGAACTTTCTGATGAAAGGCTATTAACACCACAAATCACCTCATATTAGGTTACTGCCAACCCCAAGGGGTCAGTTACTTACCCTGGGTCAATGGATACCCGATCTCACACCAAAGACAACGCTGACAGCCAGTTTCTCTAGTAAACTCTCTAAAGCTTTATTAGCTAAGAAAAAAAAATAGTTTTTGAGAGGTTAAAGCAGGTAAAATGCATTCACAGGGAGTCGGTTTGTAAGTCCAATATGATAGCAGAGATGAAGTGAGCTGCTAGATTTCAATAAGTCTCTCAGCGTTACACAGAATAACTGTGGGGAATCTTTGTCCACTTGTTCAATATTCCACCCTATTAGAATCCAAAACAGTTCAAAGATGCAGGATCATAGAATATCAATGTTGGAAGGGACCTCAGGAGGTCATCTAGTCCAACCCCCTGCTCAAAGCAGGACCAATCCCCAATTTTTGCCCCAGATCCCTAAATGGCCCCCTCAGGGATTGAACTCACAACCCTGGGTTTAGCAGGCCAATGCTCAAACCACTGCTATCCCTCCCCACTAAGGAGGAAGATCATTTCCTTGAACCAGTATTTATAGATTCTTGCTCACAGAAAATTAGCTGACTGCTTCTGTATCCATTGTTGAACGCAACGACTCTTGCTTTGAAGTTAGCCTTCTACTTTTTGCATTCACAAGTAATGTAGTTGCAGTGACATACATCATGCAATTGCCTGCCACTACAGTCTAATAGGGATAGAGAAGTGAAAACAATACAAGTATCACTCATTAGTTTTCATGCAGTTTACACACCACGTAAATTCTCACTAACATACACTTTTGATCTAGGGTTAATTAAGTAAGGGGTATACCTAATGTAATGCAATAGTAAACAACAGGTTATAGGTAAGTGAAGACAATAATAGTGTTTGGGGTGTGCTCTAGACCGACGGGATCTAATCTGGATATGGATAGAGCCCTTTTTAAAGTTTTTAATAAAGTAAATAGTAATGGAAACTGTGTGATCATGGGAGACTTTAACTTCCCAGATATAGACTGGAGGACGAGTGCTAGTAATAATAATAGGGCTCAGATTTTCCTAGATGCGATAGCTGATGGATTCTTTCATCAAGTAGTTGCTGAACCGACTAGAGGGAATGCCATTTTAGATTTGGTTTTGGTGAGTAGTGAGGACCTCATAGAAGAAATGGTTGTAGGGGATAATCTTGGTTCAAGTGATCATGAGCTAATTCAGTTCAAACAGAACAGAAGGATAAACAAAAATAAATCTGCAACTAGGGTTTTTGATTTCAAAAGGGCTGACTTTCAAAAATTAAGGAAATTAGTTAGGGAAGTGGATTGAACTGAAGAATTTATGGATCTAAAGGTAGAGGAGGCCTGGGATTATTTTAAATCAAAGCTGCAGAAGCTATTGGAAGCCTGCATCCCAAGAAAGGGGAAAAAATTCATAGCAGGAGTTGTAGACCAAGCTGGATGAGCAAGCATCTCAGAGAGGTGATTAAGAAAAAGCAGAAAGCCTACAGGGAGTGGAAGATGGGAGGGATCAGCAAGGAAAGTTACCTTATTGAGGTCAGACCATGTAGGGATAAAGTGAGAGAGGCTAAAAGTCAAGTAGAGTTGGACCTTGCAGAGGGAATTAAAACCAATAGTCAAAGGTTCTATACCATATAAATAAGAAGAAAACAAAGAAAGAAGAAGTGGGACCGCTAAACACTGAGGATGGAGTGGAGGTCAAGGATAACCTAGGCATGGCCCAACATCTAAACAAATACTTTGCCTCAGTCTTTAATAAGACTAAAGAGGATCTTAGGGATAATGGCAATATGACAAATGGGAATGAGGATATGGAGGTAGATATTACCATATCTGAGGTAGAAGTGAAACTCAAACAGCTTAATTGGACTAAATCGGGGGGCCCAGATAATCTTCATCCAAGAATATTAAAGGAATTGGCACCCGAAATTGCAAGCCCATTAGCAAGAATTTTTAATGAATCTGTAAACTCAGGGGTTGTACCGTATGATTGGAGAATTGCTAACATAGTTCCTATTTTTAAGAAAGGGAAAATAAGGTGATCCGGGTAACTATAGGCCTGTTAGTTTGACATCTGCAGTATGCAAGGTCTTGGAGAAAGTAGTTAAGGACATTGAAGTCAATGGTAAATGGGACAAAATACAACATGGTTTTACAAAAGGTAGATCGTGCCAAACCAACCTGATCTCCTCCTTTGAGAAAGTAACAGATTTTTTAGATAAAGGAACTGCAGGATCGAATTTACCTAGATTTCAGTAAGGCGTTTGATACTGTGCCACATGGGGAATTATTAGTTAAAGTGGAAAAGATGGGGATCAATATGAAAATTGAAAGGTGGATAAGGAATTGGTTAACAGGGAGACTACAGTGGGTCCTACTGAAAGGTGAACTGTCAGGCTGGAGGAAGGTTACCAGTGGAGTTCCTCAAGGATCGGTTTTGGGACCAATCTTATTTAATCTTTTTATTATTGACCTTGGCACAAACAGTGGGTGTGTGCTAATAAAGTTTGCGGATGATACAAAGCTGGGAGTTTTCAATTGCCAATTCAGAGAAGGACAGGGATATCATACAGGAGGATCTGGGTGACCTTGTAAACTGGAGTAATAGTAATAGGATGAAATTTAATAGTGAGAAGTGTAAGGTCATGCATTTAGGGATTAATAACAAGAATTTTAGTTATAAGCTGGGGACGCATCAATTAGAAGTAACGGAGAAGGAGAAGGACCTTGGAGTATTGGTTGATCATAGGATGACTATGAGCCGCCAATGTGATATGGCTGTGAAAAAAGCTAATGCGGTCTTGGGATGCATCAGGAGAGGTATTTCCAGTAGGGATAAGGAGGTTTTAGTACCGTTATACAAGGCACTGGTGAGACCTCACCTGGAATACTGTGTGCAGTTCTGGTCTCCCATGTTTAAGAAGGATGAATTCAAACTGGAACAGGTACAGAGAAGGGCTACTAGGATGATCTGAGGAATGGAAAACTTGTCTTATGAAAGGAGACTCAAGGAGCTTGGCTTGTTTAGCCTAACTAAAAGAAGGTTGAGGGGAGATATGATTTCTCTCTATAAATATATCAGAGGGATAAATACCGGAGAGGGAGAGGAATTATTTAAGCTCAGTACCAATGTAGACACAAGAACAAATGGATACAAACTGGTCACTGGGAAGTTTAGACTTGAAATTAGATGAAGGTTTCTAACCATCAGAGGAGTGAAGTTTTGGAATAGCCTTCCAAGGGAAGCAGTGGGGCAAAAGATCTATCTGGCTTTAAGATTAAACTCAATAAGTTTATGGAGGAGATGGTATGATGGGATAACACGATTTTGGTAATTAAATATTCATGGTAAATAGGCCTAATGACCTGTGATGAGATGTTAGATGGGGTGGGATCTGAGTTACCCAGGAAAGAATTTTCTGTAGTATCTGGCTGGTGAATCTTGCTCATATGCTCAGGGTTTAGCTGATCGCCATATTTGGGGTCGGGAAGGAATTTTCCTCCAGAGCAGATTGGAAGAGGCCCTGGAGGTTTTTCGCCTTCCTCTGTAGCATGGGGCATGGGTCACTTGCTGGAGGATTCTCTGCTCCTTGAAGTCTTTAAACCATGATTTGAGGACTTCAATAGCTCAGACACAGGTGAGAGGTTTTTCGCAGGAGTGGTGGGTGAAATTCTGTGGCCTGCGTTGTGCAGGAGGTCAGACTAGATGATCATAATGGTCCCTTCTGACCTTAGTATCTATGAATCTATAAACATCAGCATTTTGCTAGTTTTCATGAATTTAGAGCAAATGTAATTAGGGGGCATATGCCATGTAAATGCAATGTGATAACATCCCCCTTTGTGAATTGGCTTGAACACACAATGACCTTTTAGCATTTCTTTGCTATCCACACACCAGTGAATTGTCCTATTGCTCCAGCCTGAGCTGGCAATCTGCTAGACAGATCACAACACTGACAAATGTCAGGGCAGAATAAGACTGAACTGAATGTCGAACCAACACAGGGGCTAGTGCAGAGGCTGGATTCTGGTAACTACCTCCTTGGAACACTTGGACCTGAAGGTGCTGCACAGTCTGCAATCTGATACAGAATCCAGGGAGGTTGGCAGACTGCTTGGGGGAATAAAGGGCAGGTGCCTGGCCGCTCTCCAAGGACTCCAAGTGTCATGGGTGGGGGCTGGGGAGGGGTCTCCTGGAAATGCACAAACTTCTCCTGACTGCCGTTTCTGGAGTGGAGTATGACTACAGGCTCATGAGCAAGTGGCGGACATGCTTGGGGACTGTTATGTGGTGTCCCTTGCTGCTTAGGGGTTCAAGTGCAGGAGGAACACCGCAAGTCCTAAGTGTCAAGATCTCTCCCGCAATGCATAGGCTGCTGCTCTCAGAAGGGAGGTGTAGCTTTGTGGAATTGCCAGCGAATGCCATGAAAGGATGGGGAAATCGGATCTACATGGGTTGAATTTCCCTTGCAGGTGGCAAATCTGCGAGAGAAGCTCCAAACTTACGAGAGAAACACCCAGGATCCAGACCACCAGGTTCCAGCTCCTCAGACACAGTCTAGCCCTTGGCAGGTGGAGCTGCTCAGGTACATTTTGTTGACCATCAAATCTTGTCCTTCCAAGAGCCTGACCAGTGCTGAATGCTATATCCTATCTCCCAGGCTTCCCCCATCAAGGATTTTTAGGGTTCATTTTACTCTTGATTGTGTCTGAAAGCAGAGCTGATTGGAATGCAGCCACACCTGTTGACTCGCTAAGCACATGGTCATGTCAGTCGTACACTCCTGCCTATGATGAAGCCATAGTCTGTCCACCGGTGCTTCCCAGAGCCCGGATGGGCAGAGTGACTCACTGACGAGTGAGAGGGAAGGTGGTCCACGAAGGCCTTTTGCCAGACTAAGCACAGAACAAGACTTGCAAAATCTGACTGTAAAAGAAAGTTCTCCATGAGGGTCTCCATCTCTGACCGCCCCAGAGAAGCCTGTAAGTGGTGGCAGCAAACACTGTAGCTTTCCACCCAAATCTGCTCTGGCAACTGCTCCTAAAGAGCTTGTCTCCGTGTTGTTATTGCTGCTTCTTCCTCTATTGCTACAGGTCAGCACAGGCTGCACAGGAGGGGTCTCCAGATCATGAAGTCCCTGAGAAGGGTAACCAGGAAATGGTGATACAGCAGCAGGAGCTGAAAGGGAGACAATCCTTTCAGCAACAGGACCTGGGAGCAGTGGAACGGGTGAGAGAAGGGGCTGGTTGGCAGAGGAGCGCTTGGGCAGGTTTGGAGACTTGGAGAGAATGAGACAGCAGCAGGGTGAGGGGAAGAGTAGGATAGGTGAGGGTGACCCGAGGTGTTGAGACACTGACGAGGAATAGCAGGGCTATGGCAATATCTGTGGAGGAGAGAGAGAGTTTGGAGGGTGAGCAGCGGAGGTGGGGAGTAGAGAAGCTGGGAAGGTGAGCCTTGGAAGATGAGCATTATCCTGGGGAAAGGATAAGAGGCTGCTCCAAAGCTGCACTCAGCCCCACAGGATCACGGCTCTGCAGAACACCTCGCTGATGGCCGTCCCCACGGCACCTTGTTCTGTGCCTTAAGACAAGGGTCCAGCTGAGGAGCTCTCCACTGCATAATGCAGTACAAGGTCTCACGGCTCAGTGAGCAGTGGACATGTGATGTGCAGTGCAGACCACTAGTCTCTCATGCTGCTTGGTTCTGTTGTAAAGTACAAGGACACCCCATCTACGTGACACATGTTACTGTCTGGGGGGCCAGTTACAGCTTGTGCTGAAGCTGTGTCCTCTGCTCTACAGTAAACTCTCTCTCTCCTCTATTAAACCTGTGCCAGGTGAGAGTGGCAGGAGCTGGCAAAACTGAGCAAAAGCATTCACAGAATCATAGAATCTCAGGGTTGGAAGGGACCTCAGGAGGTCATCTAGTCCAACCCCCTGCTCAAAGCAGGATCAATCCCCAACTAACTAACGTACGTTCCGTCCTTGTGATCAATTCAGACGCCAGAGAAGGAACTTCATGACTATGCCACAGATCTTCAGCAGAAAACCAATAAACCAAGCTCTCTGCTCCAGGGATTGCCCCGGGATCAGACCCAGAGGTGAGTGTTCCCTCACCACCTCCCCCACTGCTGCCCCCACATACGTGCACATAGGAAAAAGGGACGTGCTCCTTCCTGTGGCAAGATGAACTGTGCGGCAGTACTGTGCCCAGGCTGAAAGAACCAGTGCAGTCTGCAGGGTGCTTGTGCTCCTCATGGTGATTGTGAAGGGGCAGGAGCAGTTAATAGGGATATAGGGCCTCTGTAGTTACCTGTCCTATAAAGGCAGCACCTACCATAGCCCACTGGAAACTGATCATATGGGATACCCCTCCCTGATCCTAATGGGTGATCTCTGTAAAATGCTCCAGGGGGAGACAAAACCAAGGCCTGGCCAATGTGCCATGTGCTGGGGAGATTTCTTTTTTTCCTGTGCCAAAGCTGCCATAGGAGGTCATGGTGTCTAGGAACAACAATGGTCCAGCCCAAGTAATTTATGTACTAAGGTACTAGTGGTAGCAAAGTAACTGCCCTTTCTCCATGAATCCCAATAATATGGATTCTGCCAACAAAGCAGAGTCAGAATTCCCAGTGTGGCAAATGGTATGTGAACCTGAACTTCAGACTGGTAGAATTCACCTCCAGAAGCTCTCCTTATGTCCTGGGCTTCTACAGGTTGTGGCCTGGGGTGGGTCCATGACCCAGTCTGCTGGGATCTCTGCCCCAAGTCTCTTGCCAGAATGGATCCCTTGGGAAAGTTACTCTTCAGGAGGAGCCCTGGGGAAGGGGGGTGTTTAACTTTAAAACCTGGCAAAGTCTCACTGCCAGCCTGGCCAAGAACCAGAGGTGCCAAAAGCCCAGCCCAGCGTCCCAATGCCTGCGATACCAGCTCTGGAATCAAAGGATGACTACAGAGTTGACAACCTGCAGTTTCTGTTGCTGGTGAACCCATCAAGCAGCAATTCCTTCTCTGCTATTGCAGTCTTAAAATAGTCTGACCAGATCTTACCACCTTGGATTGGGCTCCACTGCCCGATCCATTTACAGCTGAGGTGCAGACTTCGGACTAGCAGCAAGCTGCAACACCGCTGTATTGTAAAGTTTGGCCATCCCTTGCACTAACAGTCTGTGCTCTTGTGCGACCCTAAGAGGACACCTGGAATTGAACAGGCTTGTCTGGGTGCTTCCTGGAACCAATGCAGGTAGGTGGTATGTGGGAGTGAGGTGCTGGTGATGTAACCTAGGTGCCCAGAAGACCTAGGCTGAAGTCACGATTTTCAGCTAACTGGTTCTTGGGACCAGGTTCTCACCTGGCATGGGAGGCATGCTACACTGTGCTAGACTATTGGAGACAGTGTTCACCTGCTCCAGCGAAACGCACATTACGGCCCTTTCTATCCCAGGCTGGTACTTGCTGTCCTGCATGTTGCACAAAGGCAGTACTCTCTGTTGAAGGCTGCCAACCTCCTAACCCCTGACATGGTCTCAGAGTTTGAGGAACTGGAATACCTGGTGCAAAGAGAAACCGGTAGGAGTCGAGAGCCAGCTGGGACTCTGGGCGGATCCGAGGTGACCCCAGCCCAAGAGGAGCAGCAGCACTCGGATAATGGTGAGCTTGTGTGGGTGTGGTCTCCAGAACAGCTGGGCCTCAACCCCTACTTTCTGCTGTCCCCCCAGGATTTGAAGTATATGCATGAGTGACAAGGCAGAGGAGCCTGGAAGGCTCTGTTCAGTGGCTCACACTTTGGGGTTGTCACTACTGTCCTCCCTCCCAATGGGAGTGGCTGCCTGCCTTGGAGCCTTCCCTGCAGCCCAAACTCCCTAGCAGGCTAGAGCAAAGCTGGGTGCGGCATATGTAGCCCCTGGCTACATGGAGCATTAACTTGGCATCTGGGACCCAACTTAAATGCACTTTGAGGACAAAGGCAACTTGAGGGTGGGTGGGCAACTGAGTGGATACAGCACTGGGGACCCTAGGACTAGGTGCGGTGGCAGAGCCTCTGCCCCCCGCTAAGTGCCTCTGTTTAAAATCAACCTCAGTTAAAAGAACAGGAGGACTCGTGGCACCTTAGAGACTAACCCATTTACGTGAGCATAAGCTTTTGTGAGCTACAGCTCACTTCATCGGATGCATTCAGTGGAAAATACAGTGGGGAGATTTATATACACAGAGAACATGAAACAATGCCCCCCAGCCTGAAGGAAATACTCACCAGCAACCACACAACAAAACCACTAACCCAGCAACCTATCCTTGCGACAAAGCCCGTTGCCAACGGTGTCCACATATCTATTCAGGGGACACCATCACAGGGCCTAATAACATCAGCCACACTATCAGAGGCTCGTTCACCTGCACATCCACCAATGTGATATATGCCAGCAATGCCCCTCTGCCATGTACATTGGTCAAACTGGACAGTCTCTACGTAAAAGAATAAATGGACACAAATCAGACGTCAAGAATTATAACATTCATAAACCAGTTGGAGAACACTTCAATCTCTCTGGTCACTCCATTACAGACCTAAAAGTGGCAATTCTTCAACAAAAAAACTTCAGAAACAGACTCCAACGAGAGACTGCTGAATTGGAATTAGTTTGCAAACTGGATACAATTAACTTAGGCTTGAATAGAGACTGGGAGTGGATGTGTCACTACACAAAGTAAAACTATTTCCCCATGTTTATTTCCCCCACCACACACACGTTCTTGTCAACTGCTGGAAATGGCCCACCTTGATTATCACTACAAAAGGTTTCCCCTCCCCCAGCTCTCCTCCTGGTAATAGCTCACCTTAAGTGATCACTCTCGTTACAGTATGTATGGTAACACCCATTGTTTCATGTTCTCTGTATATATAAATCTCCCCACTTATTTTCCACTGCATGCGCCCAATGAAGTGAGCTCATAAAAGCTTATGCCCAAATAAATTTGTTAGTCTCTAAGGTGCCACAAGTCCTCCTTTTCTTTTTGTGGATATAGACTACACAGCTGCTACTCTGAAACCTCAGTTAAATCATTTCAGCTCTGAGCAGATGAGCTCGGAGTGCAGGTCATGGCATTGGTCACACTTGGTTCATGTTTGAAGGCTTTCTCTATAACTAATAAGGCCCAGGGGCATTATTTGTTTCAAACAAACCAACCTGTAGATCCTGCAGTGCAATTATACACAAGTTTTAAAAATTTGGATGTGGCCATTTATATGGCAGTTTAATCACATTCACAGAAGCCTGGGCATAGCCGCAGTAAGCCATCTCCCAGCACTGTATAGCTGAGGCTCTACAAGGCTCCTCTCTGTATACAATAGGTCAGTATTTCCTGGGTTTACAGATCAGGGAAGTGAGGCTTAGAGACTTTACAGGGTTTATTTTTAATTATATGTTTAGACTTCAGTGCTCTTGGTGCGTGCACAAAACTCAACCCATTGACACCGGAGCTGCTGGCTACCCCTCGCCCCAAAACCTGGGGAAGCAGCATACATAGAAGGGCCTAGGTATCTGTCTCTCGTAGATACTGCTGCCCTTCTCCAGAGGCACCTGCCATGTAAAATCAGTAGCAATGTCAAAGTGCCTAATGGACTTCAGAGTCTCAGGGACTTCTCCCTTTTCAAGGGAAAAACTCTGCTCTGGGCAGATAAGGCTTTTTGTTTGTTCTTTTAGACTTGTTCTCTTGAGGTTGATTTGTTCCAGGATAATGTTTACTACTTTGTTGTTTTGGTTGGCTTGGGTAAAAGGGGTGCCATGCCTGGCCTCTGGATTGTGGGGAGGGGAGACAGCAAATGTGAACCTCTAGTGCCCCTCCCTGAGAACAGCCTGCTAGCAGCCCCCTTCCGTGTAAATCAGAGGGCTGGTTTTACACATCAAGCTCAAGCCCACCAGGCAGTGACAGATGCCTTAGAATCACTGAGGAGTTGGGCATCATCTCTCTGTGAGCCAGAAAGAGAACCCAGAAGACCTAACTCCTAACATCTATGACTATGCCAGCATGACCTTTCTTACCTGCTTCGGGTTGGGGCATGCACTGCTTGGTGACTGCCCCAGGTGTCTGGTCTGGACGGGCTGGCACTTAAGAGGATAAGGGGAGATGTGGCTATATCTCTTAACACTCTACTTACCTACTCTCCTAGTGGTGCCATTCGCTGCCGGGCTGCAGGGTGCACCTGCCACAGAATGTGCTGCCCCAATGACAAGGTCTGTGACACGGTCCTTGCAGGAGCTTGCGTTGGTCCCTAGTCCCTCATCCAAGACTCCCAGCCTGCCAGCGAAGAAGAGGAGGAGATCAGAAATGAGCAGCCCATCCAAAACAGGAACTTCTGCCACGCCAAAACGGCAGGCAAAGCGCCAGCGGAAATCCTCCCTTCCTAGCCGGCGAAGGGGCTCCGCAAATGAATCAACTGCTCCTGCAGTGACAATCAGTCACAGCACCCCCATTGTTAAGGGAGCTAAACCTTCTCAACTAGTGCCTTATTGCATCCCAAAACCCTGCCCATCAACAGTCACCAAAAGCCGGGTCCCCCTGACAACATCTGCTGCCCAAAACTGCTGCACTCCAGCTACGCTGACCATCCGAGACCTGAATATAACTTTTGACCTTGCTGAGGACAGCTGTTCATCTGGTGTGGACGATCCTGTGAAATTCAGTGCCCCGGAATTCCCTGGCTGGGAGAACGTCCAGTGCATCTTAAAAAAGTCTGAAGTTTCCTTCATGCCCAGGTTAGTACTGCTGGGACTCCTATCTACCAGTTCCACTGTAACCTGCTCACTGTGCAGCACTGGCTTTGGATAGGGAATTGGGCTGGTGAATTTCATTCTGCCTTCTACTCAGTTTCATTTTCTGGTTCATCTGTACTAGTAGGATGTTCTTGTGGCTTTGAGTCAAAATGCTACAAGGGAATTCTTTCTCTGAGACTCATAAGCCCCAAAACTAGCAGTCAGATATATGAACAAACACCAGTCTAACCTTGCACATGCATTGTTTATGTAGAATTGGAAAGTGTTTGAAAAATCCATTCTTCCTTGTCTTTTCTTGTCGATATTCAAGAGGAATCGCTTCTTCAGATAGCGTGTCCAGCTCTAAAGACTTGTTAGAATCCAGCAGTACCTCACTTCTCCTCTGAATGCTGTCGTAAAGCACTTAGCAAATGCTGATAAATGAATGATGAGACTGTTCCATTGTACCACCTTTATTTTGACTCCTGCCTGCTGCTGCATTTCAAAAATGACTCTGGTTTGAGCTGAGTTGTATAAACCAAATGTGTATTAGTCTGTAAATGCTGGCTGGGAATGTGCTTGGTGACAAAGTAGATACTCCAGAATACCCTTTATATAAGAATTGGTGGGGAAACTGCGGCACAGTGGGGTAGTGAGTTGCCCAAGGTCACCTTGCAAGCCAGTAGCAGAGCCAGGAATAGCGCCCAGGAGGCCTGACTTCAGTCTCCTACTCAAATCTATAGACGCTGCGGCCTTGCTTGTAACTTTAGTTATAAAGGTTTGCATTTCATCCATCTAGCTGGTGAGTGAGACCCCAATTCCCTGACTGTTTATGGAGTTAACCCCTTGGTAGTCTCAGTTAATGTCCCATTTCTCCATGGGGTAGCCCATAGGGCTAGCTTGCCTTTATTATATTCACTACTTTGCCTTCATTGTAGGAACTCTTCTATATTTACAATGGCAATGACAGTCCAGAGGAGAGGGCCTGAGATTCTGTCTAGGAGAGAGTGTTTCAGTGCGCATGTGATAACTTGTTATCTGATTGGATTCAGAGCCGCCGTGCCCATGTTCACCATGAAGGGCTCCCCCACCCCGCCTGGCAGCATCCCGAAGCTATCCTCAGTCTCTAAAGCAATGGGACAGAAGAGAAAGCATTCTGTGAGGTAAGAGCTCGCTGGAGGCAGCCAGCCCAAGACCAGATCACCAGCTAGTGGATTGCGTGAGGTCCATATCCTCCCTCTCTGGTTCCCCAGCAGCTGTCCAGGGAAGCCCATGGAGAAGCAACTGTCTGAGGGACCACTGGAGCATGCAGTTCTTGTGCTTCCCTTCTGAGCCTGAGTGCTCTCCCTCTCCTGTAACAGGCCTTCTCTCCCCAGTGCTGAGGCAGGTGAAATGGCTGCAGGATTGATCTTGAGGGGCTGAGGGGGATGAAGGTAAATGTTGCCCCAGAGCCTAGGTGTGACTGACGCTGTTCAGGAGCCCTGCCTGTGGGAGCTGGGATTGAAATGTCGCTAATTGCCCTTGCCTTCCATTTCAGCACTGCCTCCCGCTCGTTGGGTGGGCTGCGGAGCCAGAGCCGAATTGCCAGGCTCCAGAGCAGCACTGTGAAGTCCTTGCAGACCCCAAGTATCCCAGGTAACCCCTTCTCTTCTTAGTGCTTGGCTAGACAGACTGAGGAAGGAGGGCCCCCAGTCTGGGCCTTCCTGCTTGGGAATATACTGTGGGAGCAACCCCTGGGCTCAGGCAGGTGCTAGGCCTGGCCTTGGCTAGTACAGGTGCCAGATGAACCTCCCCTGCTACATCTGAGCAGCGGCCCTTCTACTCAAGGGTGGGGTACAGGGAACAGCTGCCTGAGATGCCAGTGTTGCGGTGACTATGACAACTTACGCAAATCCTTGTGTTTCCCCATTGTGTCCCGGCAGCCCACCCTGGGGTGCCTATACCCATCCCCCACTGCCATCTGCTCCCAAGAGTATGCTCAGCCCAGGGTGCAAAGAGTGCCCAGCCTCACTGAATCCCCACCCCGCCCCCATCGGTCAAAGACCAGCACACATGCGCCCTTGGGGGCTGGACTGGCCGGGAGGCGGGTGGAAACCTGGCTCAGAAGATCCTTTCCTCCTCCTGTGCCAAGCGGTGGGTCTGGTACTACCCCTTGAGCTTTCGTGCCTGTGTAGCACAAGGGGAGGAGGGCAGCGAGTCTACAAAGGAAGGGTGTGGGGCCTCCTAGCGGGAGAAGGGGGTGGGAAGTGGGCTCCATTGTAGAAGTGTGGGCTCGCTGCCAGCCTGGGACGCTCCAAGGGCTACAGGTGCCAGCGATCCTGCCCAGTGGTGCTCAGGCCTCTGCTTTTATTTCCCGTGTTTTCACCTCCAGAGCCTCCTTCCTGCCCTCTGGGCAAGAGCAGCAGAGAAGATCTCCAAGCCGTTGGTGGAAAAATGCTGGCTGCACCCGGATCCCGGGCCATGAAGCTTTTCTGCTGAAGTGTCCTTGGAGGGACATCAATGCAGGGGCCGTTTTAGCTTAGCGCTGCCTGCCAGACAAGGCCTGGGACAAGGCCGGCATCTAGTGGATCTAGCCCTGGAGCATGGACCTCTTCCCCCTCTCCTCATGTACAGACTGGGCTCAAACCTCCCTTCTGTGGCAGGGTTCCCTGAGGGGGGAGCTCTCCCCTTGTCCTGAGCTGCCACTCCCTGGCGTTTGGGCAGCACTCCCATGAGTGCCAGTCTCCTCAGGGCTTTCCTGATCCTGCTGCCTCTCTTGGCAGTGAAGCAATGAAAGGAAGAAGGCAGCGCTGCTCCTACTGTCTCCTCACCCTTTCTCCTCTGCAGGGTGGCAGCATCCTGCTCCTCATCTCCGCATTCTGAGAAGGAGAGAAGACTGGAATGGGGCGTTCTGCCAGCAGTTCTCTTCCCCAGTCCAGATCCTACTAGTGTCCAAAAGCTCCTCGTTGGTGTCTGGCCCTAGGGCCCTGCAGCACCCCGGCATACCCAGCTCCTGAGCTGAGCAGCTGTGGCAGAGCACTGCAGGGCTGGGGGCAGACTGCTGCACCTCCACACACCCCAAAGCAAAACTTCCTTGAACCCTCCTGCTCTGTGCTCTCACATGGCCCCGCTGCTCTTCTTGCCTGCCCTGGCCAGAAAGTCCTCTCCTCGAGGGCCAGAGTCTGATCTCAGTTACACCAGTGACTTCACTGGAGTTGCTCGGCATTCACATTGCGCCTGGCTTGGTTTTACTAATGGAAACGGCCTGGGTTCTTAGCTGGGCTGTGAGGAGTCTCCTGAGCAGTGCAAATGGGCTGTGCAACTCTCCTCCAGTCAGATATAGCCCTATATTTTATACCAGATGGATTATCGCTGTTCTGTCTTTAGATCCTGTGTAAACTCCTCTTCGGTGTCTAGTGCTAACAGATGGCTGCAGTACTTCCACTTCTAATAAAGCTCTGAAGTGTGATACTTCTCACTTCCCTCCCAGCCAGAGCCTGTCATGGAGCTGCTCGCGGATGGCCCTGCTGCGGCTCCCTAGACGGCCAGTGATTTAGGTGCCCAGCGAGCCTCTTGCTCAGGGCCCAGACTCCCTCAGCCAAGGCCTCTGCCACCCCGGTGTTCTGTTCAGTGCTGCACCAGCTGCAGCTGAAACTTTTCCAGTGCGCCTGAGGGCAAACGGGGTGAAACCTCAGGTAAGTGGGCGTGAGCTAGAGAGAAATACTGTGTGTGAGCGGCCCCACCTACTGCTACCACTAACCAGGGGGCTGGCTCAGCAAGGACACTTCAGTGGGAACTGTCCCAACCTCTCAGTTCTGCTGGAGCCTCCTCTCCTCTGCTGCCCTCTCAATCTACCGTTAGTTTCAGGCCAGTTCCAGCCATTGGTTCACATCATCCCCCCAGTGCTTGGCACTGCCTCTGCCAAGGGGAGGGGAGTCTCACTAGCGAACCCCTGAAGTTGCCTCTTCTCTGCACCCCGAACCCAGCTCAAATCACCTTCCTCTTTACAATCAAACTGTGCCTCCCAGACAGCTCTGCATGGATCTTTATGAGGCTCCGATTTTCTTTTCCTTTCAATACTTACGCGCTGGCAGAGGGGCTTTGAGGCTATGTCTGCATTGCAATAAAACACCTAGGGCAGGCCTGCGTCAGCTGTCTCAGGTGGTGGGACTATACAATTGCAGTGTAGACCTGGTTCAGGCTGGAGCCTGGACTCCGGTACCCCACAAAGCAGGAGAGGGAACGACCTGAAGAAGAGCTCTGTGGAGCTCATAAGCTTGTTTCTCTCGCTAACAGAAGTTGGTCCAATAAAAAATATTCCCTCCCCCACCTTGTCTCTCTAGTATCCTGGGACCAGCTCACCTACAATAACCCTGCATCCATTTGGGGGAGAGGACTTCCTTGCACAAAGCCTTGGGCCCAGACAATCCAGCTGAAGATTCACAAAAATGCTACAATCCAATGAGGGGGTGTAGCAATAACCCAAGAATTTTAAATATGCCATTCTCTTTAGTATGCTAACACCAGGCTTATTTCCCAGAGAGCTGTCCCCTTTGCTCCTGATGCAACCCTTCCTGACAGCCAGCCCCGGGTTTGCTTAGCGATCTGCTGCTTTCTAACTCCCCTCTGGGAAGTGGGGGGGTTACAAACTTCCACTGCCCTAATTATTTCAGTCCCTTTCTGGTGTAACGCTGGAGAGAGCTGGCTTGCAAAGGAAGATGCTCGTGTGCACCCAGCTTTGCATTGTTGGAGGCTGGAAGATTATAATTAAAACTTTCAGCTTCCTTAAAGCTTGGTCCTCTCATTAAGTGGGAGCTGGGGGGAGAACCCAGCTTTGCCTCCCTGCAGCTGAAGTGATTGACGTCTTTCACAAGAGATGTTAACACTTTGATCCCATCTGCGTAGGAGCTGGGAAAAAATAAATATCTGGGGAGATTAGCTGAGACTCTGTTCACCCCAAAGACCTTCCCCACCCTCCCTGCACCATCTCTCTCAATCCTTCCTTCCTGCGCAGAGGAAAAGCCATTGCCTCAGCTAACAAGCTCGCAGAGCTAAGCCGACAGACGCGCCGCCCAGCAAGGTGAGGCAGACAAGCCATTCGAAAGCCTGCTGTCGTTTTAAAAGGCCTGGGTGTGAGATCAAATGGGGGTGCAGGTGGAGCTGGATGCTGCAGCCAAATCCTCCAACCTGCGGCCCGCTGCAGGTGAGATCTGCACTGCCCGCTGCAGGTGAGATCATGCACACCAGCTGCTGCCAGAGCAAAGCTAGGCCAATGTCTCTGCTGTTCAGAACTAGGCAGCGTGGTCAAATGGCCAGAGCAGGGAACTGGGATCTGCTCTTGACTTGCTGCCCAGGTCACACTATTGCTGCTCATTTATGGTTTGCTTGATGTTCCCGAATGAGGTTTGGGTCCCCTGGTGCAAACGTCACCCTGCCCCGAAGAGCTCAGTCTGTGCAGCCAAGACGGGGATGAAACATGCAAGCAGTAGGATCAGGGTGAAGGGTAGCAACCAGCATGCAATGTCTCAAGGCTTTGTCCGTATGTGGATCAATGAGCCTGCCTATCTCCCGAGGCGCTGGGAGGGTTAATTAACTGCATGTGGGTGGGCTAGTGTCACCAAGATGGGGGGAGTTATGACGCTGAGTGGCGATGCCCAGGAATGCTGGGAGCCACAAAGCCAAGTCAGGTGCCCAGGCTTCTGCTGCAATGAATGGGGAAAGTTGGGCCCCGGGAATGGAAGCCACCTATGCCAGCCACTGGGTGATGCTCACCACAGGGGTGTGTGCTAAGCCCTGCCCCTCTCTCGGTGAGAGGCGCCCCTAAATCCAGGCTACGAGCTGTGAACAGGACCCCCCTCCTGCCGAAGCAGGGCCTTAGGCAGGTGTCTCACTCTGCCCAATGAACCAGGGGGTCTGAGGTGCTGGTGCTCACCCAGCCGGGATGGGGGAAAGCCCAGGTTCAATTCCCCCCTTTCTGCCATGACAGATTTGAATTGGGGTCTCCTCTCTCAGTGCCCTAACCTTAGGGCTCCAGGTACATTCTCACACTGGTCCAAAGAACACTGATTATTTAGTCCACAGCATCAGCAGGAGAGATTGAGGGAGCCCCACAGCTCACTGGTTAGGATGCTCTCCTGAGAGGAGGAAACCCCTGGTCTACATCCCTGGGGAGTGCTCCAGGGTAACAGTCACCACCATCTTCTCTGCTGGCCAGGCCTTCACTGGGACCCCCACTGGCAGGCAGCCTCTGAGCACCTACTGCCTCAGGCCTGCATGTGCCTAGCCGCTCCCCGCTGGAGCACGGGTGGGAGATGGTGTCTAGATGGCGAGAGGAGGCAGCTGTGCGTGTGTCCCTGAGGCACTGGGTGAGCTTTTACCCTGGGAGCTTCAATACCTGCAGGGTCGGGCTGGAGTTTTGTGGGGCATAAAGCAAGACTTAGACCCCTACGTGTCTTTGTGAATTATACCAATGGGGCTGCTCGGATGGGAAGGGCTGAGGAGATACAGTAACATGCCTGCAGCCACCTAGTGCGTCCCATCCCCATGCTGCACAGCAGGGGCACCTGCAGCTCCTGGGGGTCAGGAAGGCTAAAGCTGAAATCCTCCTGCTCCAGGAATCCACCCCTGAGCCAAGGGAGAAACTCTCCTGGGAGTTAGCACGTGAGGGACTGATGCAACTCTGATTCTACCCAGTGGAGGGCAGAGCTTGCACATGCAGGGTCTTGTACGCACAGACTCTAGGTATTTTTGAAATGAAAGCAGAGAGATTTGCACTTGGGGAATCAGAGAATCTCAGGGTTGGAAGGGACCTCAGGAGATCATCTAGTCCAACCCCCTGCTTAAAGGGGGACCAAGCCCCAATTTTTGGCCCAGATCCCTAAATGGCCCCCTCATGGATTGAGCTCACCACCCTGGAGTGAGCAAGCCAATGCTCAAACCACTGAGCTATCCCTCCGCCTGACACGGCGAGGTCCCCTGTTTAAATGATCAGGCATTTACACCACCACTGTGGCAACATGTTACCCCTAGCGCCACCCAGAGGCCAGGGCTCGAGGCCAGGGTTCAAGGGAAGACACTTGTAGATTTGGGGTTTGGTGAGCAGTCTGCATCTGCTGCAGGGGGCTGATCTGCTCCAGCTCTGGTTTCTCCTCACAGCAGTGTGGCCTAGTCACCGAGTCCTAACATTTAAGGCCAGAAGGGACCCCAGATCATCTGGGCTGACTGTCTGTACAGCTCCGCTGGGAAGGGCTGGATTTTCCGTCTGGAAACGTGGAATTCACCAGACCCACAAAAGTACTTCCCTGGCCAGTAATTGCCATGTACAAGCCGGCAAAGTATGAAGAAAGCTGCTTGTGAATGGACGAGCGCAAGCGTTGGGGAGATCGAATGGTGTGAAGTGTGATGTCACCCCACCGTCCTTCTGTTCAACTTAAATCCATAAAACTGGGGGGAAATGCTTAAAAGTAAACCGTGCTGTCCTCCAGCAACATTACAAACACATAAAAAGCAAAGTCTGCCGAGCCTGTGTCCAGCACGGGCCCCCACCAGCCCCAGCCAGCACCCGCACATGGACCCCAACAACCGAAATGAGCCCAAAGCGTCACAGCCCTCGGGACACTGGATGATGCCGTGCCACAGGCCAAGGGCGGCCAGGGCCCAAGGCCCCTGCAAGGGTGGGGAAAAGATTATGTGAGATACACCAGGATAATCCTGGCCAGTGACCCCCCCTCCCCGCCCCAGGCTGAGGCAAACGCGAAACCCCCCCAAGGCCCCAGCTAATCTGACCTGGGAGGATATTCCTGCCCCAGCCCACATGTAGCAACCAGTTAGACCCTGAGCTTGTGAGCTAGACCCATCAGCCAAGCACCTAAGAGAGAAAATGCACAGGGCCACCTCAGAGCCCTGGCACTCCCCACCCAGTGGCCCAGCCCAGCCCCGGCCATCCGGAGGCTTCAGAGGAGGGAGATAAAACACATAAAATAATAAAACAGACTATATTGCAGAGTGATTGCCTGAAACCATGAGATTTTTAGACCTATAAGACATAACCAGGACGGGGGCAAGCTCTCTGAACAATCCTGTGTTCTGCCAGACACAAGTGTCACGCGACCTTCTCTGGTGATCCCACACTGCTGCTGTCAGTGAAGCATCTCTGGTGAGCAACCAGCACTGGCATAACTATGCGTAAGTCGCCCTTCCCGTTGATGTACTCCCTAGCAAGGTGGGCTGGTGACAAAATAGGGCTGGGCGAGCCATTTATCACCCCATCACAATTCGGGAACCCCATTGCTGCAAATCCACCGACCACGGCCTGCACATGGTCAAGAGCCACA